GATATTTTATTAATTCTTCTGCAAGGGCTTCTAAGCTGTAAATGAAGTCACCGCTTCAATCGGCATTTTACGATACCGCGGTGAACACGTACATTTAACAGTGAAGGACAGCATTTGCAATACACAAGGCTGATCAAGTTGAACAGCCCCTGCAAACGTTGTCGAAAGTCTCTTAGGTGCCTTGAGTACCAAAACATAGTTAGGACTATTCTGTGAGTCCCTGCTAAATAACCTGTGCTGTGAGGCCCAGGGAACTAACACCATCCCTCCCTGGCAGAACACTCCTAGTGCGATTGCTCAAACAGTGTTTTCAAGGGAAAGGGACTGTTCAAACTTTGCCTCCTCTGCCCTTCTCTTATCCCTGTTTTGGCGCTCCTGTGACACCTGTTCCGCACTCTTAGTTGCCCTCCTACTTGACACAATACAATTCTGAAAAAGCAAACCCAATGCTTTTCTAAGAAAGACTTCTCCAGTTCATCTAAGAGATTGTAAATCATGCAACTTTCATCTAGGAGGCAACAGAGACTGTTTTTTTTATAAATTTATCAAGAGAGATCATATGACACTCCTGCAAAATGTGCTGTTTGCCATTTAATTTCTTTTTCCAGCAATATTTACCTGTGACCTTCAGTATAAAAAAGGATTCTTCAAAATAAGGCACTGATGATAAACCATGGAAGTTTCAAAGTCCTGCGGAAGATAACATTCTTTCCCTGGCTTTAAGTGCAGAAACTCCGCAGACACTTCCATAAATCATACCCTCCAAATGCCCTAGCTTTAAGTGCAGAAACTCCGCAGACACTTCCATAAATCATACCCTCCAAATGAGAAAACGGTTTTTGCTAAATAGCTTGAATGGAGTCCAAGTTCTTGGGATAAAAAAAAAAGACCAACTAACTTGCAATCCAGAGGGCATTCATTACCACCAGAAACGATTCTGCTAGCATCAAAAGTAGAAGCCTCTTAAAGTTGCAATGAAAAACATTTGAAGACAAGAAACCATGTCATTAGCTGGTAAGTAGTAAGGTACACATTGTTCTAGGCAACAAAAAAACCAGTTTTGAGTTGGGGAATTTCAATCAGTTTAATCTATTATCAATTAATATAAATATGTAATTATTTTGTTATTAAGAAATAAAAACAAATAAACACTTAAACAAAGCCACCTCGACTCCCCTCTGCCCACCTCTCCTCCACCTTCCTTATTTATTTGTAATAAACTCTTAAAGTTTGAGCCAAATTCAGGAATCTCTTCTAGTAGCAGCGTACCCAGAAATGTTCTTAGCCTTTGTTGCTAGATATCCAAATGTTACTTAATATTCAAATCAAATAGTAGTGCGTTTAAGGGAAATTTTTAAAATATAAGGATTCTTCTGCTAAAAACTCTCTTCTTCATGTGTTGAAATAACAGCACTGTTCATTAGGGTGCACATTTGTTAACAGTAAACAGATGGAGGAAACGGTACCATAGAGGCCATGGGACAGGAATGTCAGCGATCTATGCCCCTGGTGTGCTGGCTGATCTTGGACAAGTGGTTTTCCTCTGCTTGTCTCACTTTCCACCTGAAAAATTGGATGTTTCTACCTATTTCTATGTTCATTTTGAGAGATATTCATTGAAAACAGTGCTTAAGACTTGAGTGACGGTAAAATGCCAAATCAAATACACAGGCAGCTGGAAGGGCAGAAGCAAGTTTGTCGGGATTGTCAGCTGGAGGAGACACGGTGTTTCAGAGCCGATCGCTGGCCTGAAAGATCTTCTCGCTGCCTTGACGACACTCAGGGCCCAGCTGACGTCGCTCACTAGGACCATTCCTGCCACCTCCTTCTGAATGGCTGCATTTGCCTCATCACCTTCCTCAGGTGAACCCAGGTCAGCCACGGGTGAAGGCTGGGCAACGAGAAGCAGTTGGCGGCGCGGGGCACTAGCAGAGACAGCGGTCCACAGTGGCGGGGGGAGCAGTGGCAGCCAGCGAGGTGTTGCTGCAATGCCACGGCAGCGGTTGCGTAAACTAAAAGGCCGATGGGCAAAATACCTGACCCCGCAAAGTTAAAGAAGCAGTTTTCGGAAGAGAAGGGC